CCCACCTTCCTAATAGTATCTTCCTCACTATTTCTCTTATTCTTTGACACTTAAAAGAATTATTTTTTTTATCTCACAAATAAGAAAGGACATATTCAAAATCTTGAGAATTTTGTAAAATGTGATCAATTTTGTGACATTGACAAGTAAAATTTATATTTGTAACTAAAGTCCAATAATAGTTTTTACATCTAAAATTAAAACCGATGAAGTCCTACTTACAATCAATTTTAATAACATTGAGAAACAAAAAGAAAGATTTTTACAGTATTGTAACAAAAGAAGAAAAGCATAAAAAGCTCTCCAATTTTGATCTGAAAGATCACTGACATAACTTTCAGAAGTTTCCTGTGTCGACACTGAGTAGTACTACTTCCCTTTTGAAGCAAGATGATCAAACACTCCATCGCTACACAGATGAGGAGGCCAATCACGAACGTTACAAATATAGGAGCGAACCTACTCTGGAAAGGCTAAGATGACGCCTCGCATATGGGTAGCAAGAGGGAGGGCGCGATGGTGGGGCTTTATGGGGAAGGGCCCAGCCCAATAGGGACAGACTCCCCCCACTTCAAGCGCACCTCTGTTTCAACAATTGGATCAATTTTGTAAGTTTCGATAGCATAACTCTTTGAAAAACATTATCCGGCCACAAGAGTTATTATCTAATATCTAGCAACTAAAAAATTGTTTTACTAATGAATCTAAGTTAAACTCTAACACTGTGTTTAGTATGTAATATTAGTTGTTAAGAATAGAATGGACATTTCATGGTAATGCCCATTCTATTGTTTGGTTTGCAAGATTTAAAATTCATTAAGATTCTAAAGAACTATCTAATCCCACGAATCATTAGGATCTGAACCCAAATTATAGAATTTTGCGATTTTCTTTGGTACAGTTTGTTGGAATTTGTCAAATCTGTTTATTTATTTATTTTGTAATTTATCTGAATTGTGAAATTCGGTCTGTACTTTCTGTGGAGCCATTTCTGCCTTTTGGTGCTTGTTTCCATATTCGTGTTGAAAAAAGATACTTAGGATAGATATAAAAATTGAGCTTTTGGGGGAATGGGTGGTGAGTCCCTTTGCCCTTTACTGCTCTTAGCTCCTCGTACGGGACTTTGTTAAGTTTTGGATAGAAGTAATCAAATTTTGATTATATGATATTATTTGATAGAATCACATGTGATAATTTTCGTCAAAAAATTTAATAAATTGTCTGATTATGGACCATTTAAATAAAAATTAGATATTTTTGAGATTAAATTGACAAAATTTATATCTTGAAGACTAAGCTGACAAAAATCACACATATATACTTTAGAGACCAAAAGTATAATTAACCCTATATTTTATTCCTATTGACCGAACTAATTCCTAATTATAGTAAACATTAATTAGAATATTAACAATTATTTTTATCTTATTCAATGAATTATAAGATGAAACCTAATCAAATAAATTTTAAATAAATTATTTTTATCTTTTTTCTTATAATTAAAATAACGTATTGCTGGAAACATACAATATTTTTTGAATTCTATAATATAATATGAGTGATAAAAAAATAATTTCAAAAATTTGATATGATATTTAATGTAGATAGACATGTACCTAATATTTTTTTATTAATATTCTGNTATAATAAAAATTATTCACGTGCAACGCATTACATGCGCTGCTAATAGCCAAAAATACTCTAACTTTGTTTTTTGAAATTTTCGTTCTACTTAGGTGTAGCAATCCTAGCACTTAACAGAGTATAAAAGAAGATCACACATAGAAAAAAAAAATATTACTTGTGGAGTAAATATAGAAAAAAAATATATGCATGCCCTATTAATGACCCGACATACCCTGATAAAGGGTGTTAGTGTCATTTTATCTAATAAGAAGGTAGAACATGAATAAGGCCAAACTATGAGGGTTGTTGGTGTACTTTTTCCAAAATGCTGAACGTTGATGTTCCAAATCTTGGGTAATCCTTGAGTACATCACTGACGATTGATTTCATGTTTCTGATATGTCAGAATAAAATCGACTCAATCAATCCAGACCTGCCACGTTTCTAGTTAGACTCGTTTTGGGTCCGAGTGAAAGTATATAAAAAAACGCAAAAATTAATATTTTCGGAGGAGAATCAGCCAGGTAGGCTGGCAATGGCAACCAAAGAAGACGACCTGGCTGGTTCTGAATTACTACTGTTTTTAGAGAGAGAGGTATTGCTTGACCTCTCTAATGCCAGTCTGTCATTTAACACCTATCTGGCTATCTCTCTCTGTCTCTATCCAGCATTGTATACGTATATATATATATGTATAAATACGAATATATACGTATACACATACATACATATACCCTTCATTTCTTCTTCAAAAGCTTTCTCTCTGTTTTTCGTTTGTATTGCGAGAGAGAAAGGGAGAGAGATTGCTAGAGTGAGGGAGAGACAAAAGGAACCCTTGAACTCTAATAGGTCCATTTCAAAGCTCTTGTTACCATGAGTCTGTTCGGACTTGGAAACAGGTTTTTTTTTCCTTTGCGTTTCGATCTCTATTTCAATTTCTGAAAATATTCTGATTATGTCATATGTATATTTCATCGTCCATGCATGTATGTATTATAAGATAGGTGTATGAATGTATACTATGCGTTAATGTTTGGAGATATTTGGTAATTTTTTGTATTTGGTTGTTTGATGACGATGAAATATGAAATGATTGTGAATTTTGATTTATATGTCTGTGGGTTGCGTTATTTTTTGCTGATAAGACCGAAATCAAAACTAATTTCATCTGACTAGGAAGATTATGGATGATAATTCAATTGGATTGCTTCTCAAGGTATTGATTAATAAATTACAAGGTGAGGGGGTTGACACATTCTATGGGTCTCGGTTGTCCTTATAGCTTCCCTATGAATCAGAGAAGGAATCTTGACACCTGGTGATTTGAGCTATTGTGTTATGACGAAATAATTAAGGGGCAGAATTTAGATGCTAACCTTTATAACACCGGATTTTGATGTTCAGACTTCAAGTTGATTTAATTATAGACGATATGGGGTCTATGATACTTTCAAGTGTTCATTACCATGATTATATTTGTTTAAAAAATAATTAGTAATTTATGCAACAATTCTAATTGAAAACTTTGGCAAACTTTATTTTGGCCCATAAATCTTGGTACGTGTTTTTTCATTGGACATCAATTCTTCTGCATTGCTGTTGGCTTCACTTGGGAGTATAGAGTCAAATGATTTACTTCATTAAAAAATTTAAGTTTTTTTCCTTTGAACAAATTGAAATGTATGCATGGTAGCCTGGCGAGTTATATTCTTGAGTTTTGCTTACTTTCAGTAAAAGGAGCAAACTTGTTTGTTAAAGGCTTATCTTGATCTTTTTCATTTCTAAGAAGTCTTTCAGCGTATCAATAACTCTCTCAAATGAACGGTGAGTATTGGGAAAGATTTTCGAAAAAAAACAAACCCATGGTGTTTTAAGGCCTACATGTTTCTCACGTGCTTTGAGTTTCCTATGCCCCTTAAATTTTGCCGGAGTAATGAGCTTCAAATGAATTGTTGAACTTATTTTTCTTATTAATAGCTTATTTATATGAACACCTTATTTATGCTCGTGTTGATTTGATTATTATCTGTTTTTATTCCTTGCCTCTAATGTATGGAATTTTTTTAAATAAAAGAAATACTAATGCACTCCTGACTTTGATAAGTGCAGAAACCAAAAGACATTTCGGCCTAAAAAAAGTGCTCCATCAGGAAGTAAGGTCAGTGTTCTACATTAAGCTTCTGTAGCTAATTCATTTTCTTTTCTACTTTTTTTTTTCTCATTTTTGTTCACTTGTTTTTCTTGATGAAATTACTCTTTTGTTTAAAACTCAAAGTAGCAAAGCTTTAATATCAATTGCATGGACTTTGGCGTTTACCTCTTTGGTGATGCTACTATACCATTTCCGTTTTGACTTTATTTGAAATGCAGGGGGCGCAACTCCAAAGGCACATTGATGCTACCTTGGGTAGTGGCAACTTGAGAGAAGCTGTGCGACTACCCCCTGGGGAAGATCTTAATGAGTGGCTGGCTGTGAATAGTAAGAATTTCAATCTTATAACTTTCCAACTATAATAACTTTGTGTTTTAGAAAGTATGAATTCCTGTTACTTTTTTTTTTTTTTTTTTTGTATTTTTCTTATGGAAACTTTCAAATGATCCTGATGTGATATTTGCAACATGGTGATTATGTGAAAGCAAATTAATGTATTCCCTTGTGCATGTTCATCCAAAAAAGGAAAGAAAACTAATGTTTCTCTAAGTATTTATATTAACTGTATAGGACTAGCCGAGTTAAGTAACTCTGATAAAATTCAACGCCATAGTAAATGGTGTGTATAAATTAAAGTAAATGCTATAGAAAAGTGATGGGAAAACATTAGTAAGACTGGAACCAAGGTTCAAATATGAATCCTTAAGAAGGAAGAACAAATTCAAAACTCCATGATCCTGTTGTTTAAGCTGCAACTTGAAGCATGATTGCTTATTTTGTTGGATCAATTAGGATCATGCAAGTGTTTGCATATGCCAACTTTATGCTGCCCTCCATCTACACTAAGATCAGCACTCGTAAAAAAATTCTTCTATGATTAATCCATTAATAGGATTGTTTTATCCCACTAATCCATTTGACTCCAGAAAACACTTGTTTGGATGATATTACTAGTATCTAGGTTTCTGCTTCTGTTATTTGTTATATGGTTACATGTAGACGCATAGATTTGGACGTGTATGTTCAAGTCCACTGACATACATTTGTAGTGTCAATGCCAGGCTATCTTTTGCAACATTGCAGTTAACCTCATATCATTTGTTTTCCTTTTTCTACAGCTGTTGACTTTTTTAATCAGGTGAACATTTTGTATGGTACCCTTACTGAATTTTGCACAGCATCGACCTGTCCAACAATGACTGCAGGACCAAAGTAATTTTCTTTGCCCTTCCCAGAGTGCTGAGTTCTGATTTAATACATGGGATGTTGGTTTAGTGTGATGCTTCTTCTCTGCCTTTGTTGTTGAGCTTTTAAAAATACCTAAGTGATGTGTCTTTTCTTTTACACATCATCCCATACACACACATTTCTTCTGAACGGCAAGGGTGATCAATTCTGGAAATGGGGCATTAATAGTGTCTGTCCATATAATTGTGTAGTCAAAATGTGCAATTTTAGTAAAGCATTCTTGGAAGGGAAAGGAGTTGGTTTCAGCTGAAGTTTGCCTTCCTACCATCATGAGCCTAAACCTCTATGTAGAGCTGATTGTGCTCGGTAAATTTGAGTTCTATACTTTTATGTTCAAAATATGCTTCATCAACTACTACTTGCATTTTGTTGTTGCACGTTTAGTACTGTCACTGAAATTATTAGCTTGTCCTGTCCAACCCTGAGTTAATAAAGCTTCATTGTACAATCTGGAGCACCCTCTCTCTCTCCCCCAGCCCTGCATGTGGGAGAGAGAAGTTGGGATGGGGGTGCTGGAGCAGAGTGATGCAAACAATACTGCTGGGGGAATAATGATTAGAGAAAAAAATTTGTGCCAGTGAAAATACTAATTAACAGATTGGAAGATATTAAAATACTGCAACTGCAAGACTGGAGTGAGTTGTACTTAGTTATTCACATCCAAAAATCCAGATGATTCAGTGGGTTGAAAATCTAATAACAATGTATCAAATGAATCAGTTGTTATCATTAAAAACGTTCTTCAAGTGGTGATGCTTTTGTGAAGGGATTTTATCTTGGTAAAAGCATGTTACTTAAGTAAATTGTTGGGCCCAAAGCATCTAAAGATGTTAATGCAAACACACATGATTTTCGTACCCTCCTGTCAATTTCCAGTGTATCCCATTTTAACTTCTTCTGGTCTTTTAGTGGTGTGATAAATTTCTCTTCAGGTTATGAGTACGTTTAAAATAAATTTTTGTTGTTTTCAATATTCCTCTATTTGGGATCAATTGCTGATCATGTAGACATACTGCAATCCCTCAACTAAGCATAATTGTCTTCAGGTATGAATATAGATGGGCTGACGGAGTTGCTATAAAGAAACCCATAGAGGTCTCTGCTCCTAAATATGTGGAGTATCTGATGGACTGGATTGAAGCCCAGCTTGATAATGAATCAATTTTTCCTCAAAAATTGGGTATAGGGAAATACTTTATGCCTCGCAAATGTTGCATTTGGTTGAAGCACTCAGGCTTTTTATCTTGATCTTTGTGTGCTGCAGGTGCACCATTTCCACCAAATTTTCAGGATGTCGTTAAGACAATATTCAAGCGGTTATTTCGTGTTTATGCCCACATCTATCACTCACATTTTCAGAAGATCGTGAGTCTGAAGGAAGAAGCTCATCTCAATACGTGCTTTAAGCATTTTGTTCTATTTACATGGGTAATTTATCATCTGCATGAAGTTTCAATTGTTAGGGAAGCTCTCAGTTTTGCCCTTTATGGACTCATTGCCTAGTTTGTGTATAGTCCACCACATTGTCCTCCACCCTCAAGCGTATTTAATTCTTCATTGTGAGTTAGTCTTAACAATTTACCTTTTTTTTCTTGTTTTCTTTCTTTCCTTCTTTTTAGCCACAAGTTAACCTATGGCCCCTTTCCGAGCCATCACTTCATCTTTGTGCTACAATTTTTTGGTGATCATGCTTTTAACTGCTGAAGAAACAAACCTTTTTGGTCAGCTTCTGTATAGTTGGAAGTGTTTTTTTCGGTCTACGTTGTTGGGATGTAAATTGACCCAGCAAAATTACATATTTTCTCTTACCCAGTCTTCTAATTGCAACCACAATTTCGCTAAGGCCACTGAAAGTGTTAACGATGCATCTTGAAGGAAAATGTGGGGTGGGGGTTCCAGGTTGTGTCCTTTCTTTCTTTTAACTGAAAATTAGAGTCTGGACAATGAAATGCTACAAGGAGATCCCTGGACAGAGCCATAGGGTTATTTATTAGTAGTGCAACTATTTACTAAAAATGTTGGTGTTTAAATCCTTTATTTTTTTTTAAAGTTTTTTTCTTGTTCCCAACACTATTATGAGTTCAAAATGGGAAAGACGAAATAAAAAATAAAAAAGAGAGGGTAAAATCATTTTTGCAGATCTGAACATCAGCTAGATTTGAATCTCCAGATATCTCATAAGCTATTACTTTGGTTGTGTATGTGATGCAGGAATTTCGCTTGATCGACAAGGGGGAACTCGCGCCTCTCTATGAGCTTGTTGAGTCTATCCTACAATAGTAGTGCCTTGCCAATTTCTAGTTTTATTTTTTTATTTAAATTTTTATTGGTTTGCCATTTGTATTGAGTGAACACGGGGGCAACCCTGAGAAAGAGAAAATTGAAGGGGATTATCCTCTAGCTGAATGATGGAAGTGCGTTAATCGCGCCACCTTAAGGCAGCCAGCATGGGTCTTTTTTGAAGCTGTAGTGGGCATGAATTTTGTTCTTCCTCTCCTATTGTAATGTCATTTTTCAGTTCATACTGTAATGAATTCTGCTTTCTCGAATAAACAGAGGCAGGCTTAATTTTCCATAACTTCTACAACAGGGACGATGTATGTATGCGCGCGCGCGCATGCAAGCGTGATGTTCGTATGTCAAATACTAGTACCTGGACCATTGGTTTCTATCCTAATGCAGATCTTACTGACAATTTTCCGTTGAGAATGTTGTACATCCATCGACAATAAAATGCTCCATTTGCACCATATAATATCACTTTCGTGTAACTGATATTTGAAAGTAACACACTACTTTCTGTGTCACCCTCTCGTAATTCATCAGTTAGTAAACAGCCTCAAAACAACCTACCTTGTAAAATATAATCCAATGGAAAGATGTCCGATTGATGAAGTGAACTACTTTCTCGATGGATCACTGTAAGTGTAGTAAGATTCTCTTCTCTGCAGTGTACCCTGAATGAAGCTGCAATTACAGAACTTCATCGTATAGGTACTACAGAACTGAGTATGCGCCCCTCCAACCTGACTTGTTTTCAAAGTGATGTAGTTAATTTCCCTGGTGAAGGTTTAACCCTGCTACTTCCTGAGGGACCGTGTAAAGCAATGGCAACAAATTCTTCAAGAGTTTTTTCTCTAGCAGCTGAACTCACAAAAAAATCGCAAAAACCTTTATGATCCACCTCTATTTCTCATTTGATCTTTCACAAATACATCCAGGAAAGGGGTTTGCATAAAAACTCTCTTCAAGCTTTGGAAATTCACCAGGTTCCCTCATATATGGAGCTCCAACTCGATCTTTATGAAGCTTCTTCACTTTAGAACTAAATTTCTTCCAAGAAATTCTTCCTTCATCAAATTCATCAACTAGTTTTACAAAATTCATCCTGCATTTACAAAATTAGATAATTACATGCCTTAGTTGAGTTGAGTGGATTTATTTTAGGAAATAAAGTAAACCAAGTGTCATCCTAACTAAAAAAAGACCACAAGGTTACGCTGTTATAATAGTTGTAACTTCTAAGGTATACTACCTGTCCGGATTGATAGTTTTCTTGAAGTTCTCAAAGCGTCTATGACCTTGAACTGCCTTTGCCATATTACCATCATAGGTATAAACGAAAACATCACTACGAAGGGCAACAACATAGTCCAGACCGGCCAGCATGTTCTGGTGATTCCTGAAAGGATTTAGTTCTTGTTCTGTGGCAAGAATTGAATGGGAGAAGATATTTGGGAAACTTTCTGTGAGATGTTGCATAGTCCCAGTTCCATAAGCTGCACCAGCAACCAGGTAAATCCTTGTGTTGGATGGGAAACCCAGCCCTTTAAGCAAAAGAGCAGTTTCCCTTGGGGTCAATGGGCAGCCACCAAGCTGCCTTCTCTCTGACCCATCAATCTCTTTTTCCTTCCAATGGCTGACCTCATACCGCATCCTACGCAGCTCATCATCTTCCACTGCAGTCAAATTATGACTGCAGCCCGTGAAAGCGAGCATATCCTTCTCATACCTGCAAAAAAGTAAATATAGATCAAAACCATCCGAGAATGCTATTTAAATTGGTATCCTACAAAAAGTTTGATTCCAGCATAAGTTTATCAAAGATAAACATCAAATTATAAGTTTATGATGTTTTAGAAATCCTAGAGACTAGATTCATAAATCATACCCTAAATTTCAAATGGGCAAAATACATATAATTTTATTTGGGTTTTGAAAGTAGGTCAAACTCTTAAAGTCTTAACAACACATCGTGTGTGAGTTCCAAATTGTCTGTCTTCATTCTATAAAAAAGATAAGCGTGAAAACCACAAATAAATCCTTTAATAAAGATAAAAGTGTAAAACATGCTACCGCTCTCGTTATGTAACGAAATGTGATTCAAAAAAGAACAAAAATTCCAGTGTAAAAATTTCAGAAAAAAAAACCAAAACTGCTACTAATACGCACCTCAAATGAAGAGCAATATAAGGGCTACTGTTTTGTCGCAATCTTGAAACCAAGACTTTTGCCAGTTCTTCTATTGATGTCGAGTATTTTAGTGCCCTGTAATTCACACGGCACCTTAGCTTCTGTATGGAAGTGCGGAGATCGTTGTTGGCAAGTCGGGAATCAGTGTGGGTCAAATATATTACTTTGTGCTGCTTCAGAAGAGGGAGAACCTCTGACTTATAATAGCTAACCTAAATGTAAGAATACAAGCATAGCTGTCATAAAATGACAGAAGGTGACAATTATCTGAGATTTAACCATTCACACAAAAGATCAAGTCTAAGCGACCACCATTTAAAAAGGGTAGATTATGAGGACATCCCTTGCCATTGAGGTTTGTTCTCTGGCGCCCTTGACATTTATAAAAGGCTATGAGATCCCAATTGGAGATTTTAATGTAAAATTAACTTATTTACAAATCAAAAATAACATTTTATCCTTCAAAATTCGGTCAAAATTGGAATAATAAAAAAAGAAAGTGAAAGAGTCAAACCGTATCCACTCCCCTGTTGGCTCTGAGGAACCCATCTCCCCCCGCCCTGAGGCCTCTCACAACAGTACCTCGTCTTTGGCATACACCTCCCTATCAGACCTCAACCCCCAGTCTCACACACACCAGTCACACCCCCTTCCGAATCCACTCCCACCTCAACCCCTAAAACCTTTCCAATATTTGTCTATTTTTGCCTTCTCTCACACGTAGTCCTAGTCAAAGGCACGTCGGTTGCCACCCTCCACCACTAACAACCATCAAAATCAAAACACCAAGCCAACCATGTAGATAAATGTAAACCCTATCACCACTAACGAAAATAGAAATTGAAACGTGTGAAAAAATGGATTGGATGAATGGGATGTTCAAGGCCGGGGGTCTTTGACATTGATTTCACTAAACAAATTGTCACCATATTGCAACACTGATTACGTATTTATGGACTGCAATATGTTTTGCATGAGATGGACTTTGGCTAGGTCAGTGGCATCTACCTCTAAGGCTGTAACTTACAAGCATTTTCCCAGGGATTCATCAAGTTGCTCAAATTTGAGATAGAGCAACTGAAAGAGGTTTAAAAAGGAATACAGATCAGATAATTGGTTGTGGATTTCTAGACCAATAACCATATGGAGGAGCTTCTTCCTATGATGAATGTTCCAAAAAAGCTTCTTCCTCATATGGGTTTCCGATGTTGCTCTAGTGTGACCAGGGCATCAGGAGTTTGAGTCACAAAACAGCCTCTCTACACGTGGGGACAAGCCCGCATACATTTTTTTTAATTTCTTGGTGCTGAGACCATGTACACTTGATCCTTCCCGTACATTTGATCCTTCCCAGGTCTCAAAGTGGTAGGAAGCTCTTTCACTGTGCTACCCCATATATACGTGTGGGTTTTTGCTTATAGTTGGTGGTGAGGGTGATGAGTTGTGGCTGCTGCTGTGGGGATATGTGTGTTTGTGTGTGTATGAGAGAGAGAAAGCCATAAAGCAAGGGGCAGAAGAAGAAGAACATTATGTGAAGGGAGTGGATGTTTGGCCACTAGGTTTTTTGGTGTATCAATAAGAAATTAGTTTGGAAATAGGATTATTTTATTCCAACAAGGGGATAATGTTTTGGCTCTGAGCATTATTTTTGGCTGATGGTCTTTAATCCCCCAAAAAATAAACAAACAGTTAGTATCCTGGTGCATCTTTATTCCCAGATACTAAGGAATTGATATGCAGCATATATCCACAGTCTACTTTGTATAAAAATTGTAGTAGTAAGAAGGCATGTTCATATTATATTTTTGCTGCATATATCAAAGGAATAGTGAGTGTTCACCTTAGACCAAGATATTGGTGTTTTTGTGTAAGGTTCAATTCCAGCATAGCCAAGGGGTAATGTTTCAACTATGTGGATGTCATCTTTCAGAGTCTCAATGAAGTTCTGCCAATCAAACAGATCTTTGAAGCCACTGCAGATAAGTACAAATAAAATGAGTTAGATTATAGACTAAGTTGTTAACCATCATCATGCATACCAGCAATGAATCGAAGCAACTGTGATGGACTTCGATTTGAGAAGTGTAAACAGCGGGGTAGTTGTATGATGAAAATAAAAGACATCCATATAGCAGTACAAGTAAAATCCTAGCAACTGGAGGAGGTGAACTTTTTTCTCTTGGAGGGTCGGTTAAGGTGGGGATAGTGTTCATACCCACTTAGATTCCTTTTATGTAATTGTTGATGTCAGCTGTGTATCCGAAAATAATCAGCATACGAAAGTGAAGAAATTTTTGTTTTTTGAAACCAAACTGGAAAATGACAGGTAAAACACAACTATGACAGGAGAAAAAACTGGAGCAAGCGATTCAGAGTTCATACATGGTTAGAGTGACATGTTCAAATCTCATAAACCCAAACCAATGGAACAGTAAGCACGGTGAAAGAAGAGAAAGTACCTCTCATCAGCCCAGTAGGAAGTGTGATCAAGAGATGGAAGGACAAGAGTCGCCTTCATGATTTTAGCAACAGCGACCATATCACAGATCTGCACTATAAAATAATTACTTTATCAGAGTTAAATCCATGGTGGAGGCCTACTGAATCATTAAAACACACAAAACGGACCCCAAATCTCATCTGATTCAAGCCACCATTCGCGTTTATCAGGATGTAACCATTTGTCTTTGCATCCAGCTCTGCCAAGAGAAGCGCAAGGAAAAGGGTTAAGAAATAGGTGCAAAAAGTCACGCACAGAGTGCAATTAAACTCAAATAGTGGAACCGCTCTTACTCCTATGACTTTTCGGCCTGTCAATACACTGAGTGAAATTCTCACTACTAGGTTTGCACCAGATACCTGAATTCTAATGAATTGCAATCCATAAGCGAAGAGGTGAAATTATTATGTTAAAAAATCAATATATTTTAACGTAAGCCTTACATCAGACATGCTGTTCTGGCTACTGACTACACCTGATGCTACCATCTTTAGAGTCCGTTCCAAATCATTTCCTTCAACTCCAACATTACTTTCTCCCTTCCTATATCCGTAATCATGAGAGCTTTGATCCTTAAGAA